TGATAGGTGTAGTGAGCGGTGCTGAATTTGAATTGAAGGATCAAGGTTGCAGTTCAGTTTTGACAAGGACGTCCCAAGCTCGGAGGGGCGTGTAGGTTATAGATTCTTAGAGTATGCTGGCGCTATTTTAGTGTCACCGGAGAATGGTGTTCGGTAGAAGAGGCATTGTGTGTTGATTTGCGGATCCTTGATTTGTATTATAGAAATAGTATGGTTGGTAGCCCTGGATGTGCAGATTTTGCAACCTGGTGTGGAAGGTTGTGAGAGTATTCCCCACGGGAAGGTTGAAATCAGGTATGAAGATTATGGTACCATCGATGATTGGAGAGTTTATGTCTGAGAGACGCTCTATTCCTTTAGTTTCGGATGGTGGAAGTTTGTTGCGGATTGGACGGTTGATCGTCTGTGTCATGGATGGGGTCATTGTGCACCTTTGGAAGGTTATTGACCTATTTTGGGATGATTGGAATCGGCCTTGAGGTCCGTTGATAGACCTAATGTGAATGAATATTCTACACCAGATCAGATATGCTTATTCAGCATAGCATTGCTTATGGATGAGTCTTTCGTCGTGGTGGATGTTATCCCCGTCCTCGTCTATTTCATGTGTTACTCTTTTATTCTATGTAGGTTGTACGACAGCTTGGTTATTCACACGTGTGTTGTGATCCTATGTAGCCGGTGGTGTTATACGAGCGATATGGCTCTCGAGATGACGCTATCCGTCTCTTTAGGGTTATGTTTATGCACTTGGTGTGCTTGTGGTTGATGTACGTGCCTTTAGTGGGTATGAGCATTTTGGCTCGATGACTATTCCCTTACTTATCTTTGTGTATGGACAGCTGCCATAGGTATGATGTTTGGATTAGGTTGCGCGCTGAGACGGTATCATGTGTAGATCGGGTTATATGCCGCAACAGTGAGATGTTGGATATGGTTCCTTATATTTATTTTGTGTGTTTAGATTCTCATATGTGGGATAGGTTCATAGCATTTGTCTGGTTGTTTTATTCGTTACACGGACTAGATAGTTCTGTACTTTTGATTGTTTTCCTTGTTGGTAATATTCAAGTTGTGGCTTGTTGGTGCATTGATGATGTCGTATGAGATTTTAGATTGTGTCTGACGTTGCTTGTCAACCGAGCAACTTGTACTAGTTGAGACAAGCTTATTGGACCTAAAATCAGTGCAATCCGATTTGTATAATGTATGTTGGGAGGAAAATGTCACTAATTAGTTCAGAATGAGGCAATGGTTCTTGTCGAGTGGAGAGACTCCATGAGTTATTGATTTGATGGGTGGTTATGAGTTTCTACACATCTCTTCACCGTTGCAGTATTGTGAGGGTTTGAATAGAGTTTGTATGTGTTATGAGGTATATTATAGGCACTAGGTTCGTAAATTTGCAGCTATTGTGGTTGGAGGATGTTATCATGGGAATACGAACTATGCGGTGCATTGTGTGATTACAGCATGGGTGTATAATCATGTTTTGTTATGGCTTGTTGAAACTAATATGGTGTATGTATGCTAGAATCGGACCTTAAAGAGAATTCTGGATGTTGGAATTTGGTTCTAAGGCTTGTGGGCTAAGGTAGTAGGAAGGATCTTCCGTCTGGGTTAAGGTAATGTGCTCATATGGATTGTGATGGCATGGGCAGGTGCACGAGGTGTTAAAGAGTGATTTTGGGAAATTCTGGAATGGTTCTTAGCACGTTCAAGGACGAACATATGTTTAAGTGGGGGAGAATGTAATGACCCAACCGGTCATTTTGAGCTCTAGCATGTCGTTTGGCAGTTTAAGACCCTGAGTAGCTTTATCTTATGTTTCATGACTTGCGCGTATAGTCGGTTTTTATTTACAAGCAGTTCAGAGTTGATTTGGAAGGATAATTCTTAATTTTGAAGCATTAAGTTGGAAGAGTTGACCAGGGTTTGAATTTTGAGTAAACAACCAAAGAATCATGATTTGAAGATTCCTATAGGTTAGTAAGGTGATTTCGGATTTGGTCATATGTTTGAGTTGAGCATTGGATGGCCCGGGAGAGTTTCAACGCTTATTATCAAAAGTTTGCATTTTGAAGGTTTTGAAATTTGCTAAGTTTGACTTGGAGTGTGCTTTGGTGTTATCGGACTTCGAGCGGTGTTCCCGGGACCTTGGATAGGTTCATTTTATGGATTGGAACTTGTGCGTAAAGTTTGGTCGTGATCCCGCATGTCTAAGTGTGATTCATACGCGTTCGACGAAGTTTGATGATTGAAAGTTAAAAGAAGGATTTTGATCGTCGATTCATGATTTCGATGTTATTCGTGGTGTTTCGAGCTTTTGGATAAGTTTGGATAAGGTATTGGAACTTGTTGGTGAGATTGGACGGGATCCAGGGGCATCGGGTGAGTTTCAGGATGGTTTTGGATTATTTCTCTATGTCTTGCAGCTGCTGGTTTCTGGTGTGCATCGCGATCGCGTATGAAGGGTCGCGATCGTGAAGGGTTAAGTGGACTGGTGAAGACTTAGTTCTTTGAGATCGCGTAAAGGGGTTGTGAAAGCAGAGGTTGATCAGGTTGTTCTTCGTGTTTGCGTGGTGAGGGTCGCAAATGCAATTTGTCAGTGGGGCTGGCCTGGGTTTGCAAGGTTGTTCGTCGCGATTGCGTGGCTTGGTCGCGATCACTTAAGGGATTTTCTGAGGCTGAAGGTTTTAACTTTTGCGTTCGTAGAGCTAGGATCGCGTTCGCGAAGGCTTGGGCAGGCTGAGATTCGCGATCATGAGAGGTCCCTCGCATTCGTGTAGAGTGATTTCATGGGCGAGGCTGGTTGGCCTTCGCGATAGTGAGGAGATTTCTACGATCACAAAGAAGGGTCGTCTGGGAAAAGTATAAGGTTGCAAACGGTACTTGGATTATTTTTATCTCTTTCCTCACAAAGGAGCTGATTTTGGGGTGAATTTGGAGAGACATTTTCATCATCTATCATGAGGTAAGTGATTACTATTCATTGGGAGTTAAATACATGGATTATATATGGATTTTAACATGAAAATTGGTAGAAATTGTGCGATTTTGGAAGAAAACATAGAAATGGTACTTTTGGAATTTGACCACAAAATTAGATATGGAATTAGGAACAAAATTATATATTTGAGTTCGTGGTGCTATGTGTAATGTTTAGTTTCGAAATTTTTTGAATCCGAGCACGTGGGCATGGGGATTGACTTTGAGAGTGGAGTTGGGAATTGTTATAACTTGTTAAATTATGAGATTTTGAGTGTATTTTGATAGGTTTGCATGTTGTTTTACTAGTTTCGGATCGTTTGGCATTGGTTTGAGGAGTTAAGAGAGGCATTAGAGCCGGTTATCAGATTTCAGAGCAAGGGAAGACTCCTGCCTAACCTTGTAAGGGGAAATTTACCCCGTATGTGTTATATTTATTATGTGCTACATGTTGTGGGAGCTATGCACATATGAGGTGATGAGCGTCCGTGCGTATGCTAGAATTCCTGATTAGGTTAAGGTAGACTTAGACTCACGCCATGCTTTAATTGCAATATTTGCGTTATTATTGCCTATTTAAATGCTTTAATTTTAATTTTTTCCTGAAACCAGACTTGCGTAAAGTATCAGACTTGATGTTTTAGATATTTGGCGAGCTACTTCATTAGCAGTAGAAATTGTACTTCCTTTTACGGACATCTCCCGCATTGTACGAAATTTGTCCAAAAAGCTTAAATTTCATAACTCACACATATATTCATGATAGGGCCAGTGACTCGTCACTAGTCCTATGAGATCGGGCTGAATGCCTCAACAATACTTTTATGGATCGGGCCGTACGACTTCGGCAGTATTATGAGATGCATCTATCATTCGTGTCGGTCGACCCTCGGCATTATACATGATTATTATGGGATCGGGTTGAACGCCAACATAGAACTATTATGGGATTGGACCTTACGGGACGGCAAAAAATTGAGCTATTACTCTTATGGAATCGGGCCGCTCGCCTTATGGAAGAGTCATGCGTAATATTTGATAAGGAGTCAGTGTATCTATGAGTTTTTCTGAATTGAGATGTGACGTTTTATCTGGTGTTGACCATTATGTATTCCATTCGAGGTAGTATCTGGTTATTGAGGACGTCGTGTTTATTCTTCCGTTGAGGATCGTGTTATGTACATATATCCTCTCTCACTGTTTTACTTTCCATGCTTCACACCTGTCTACTTTTATTATAACTGATTTATTGGACCACTAGTAAGTGTCGATGTTGACCCTCGTCACTACTTCTTCGGGGTTAGGCCAGATACTTACTGGGTATGCGTTGATTTACGTACTCATACTATACTTCAGCACTGATTGTGTAGGTACTGAGGCAGGTACATTTGGTGGTCATCTTGGCGCATAGGCGCAGCTGCTGAGGAGACTTATGATGAGTTGCATTCCATGTTATGATCCGCAGCACATAGAGTCCCCATCTTATTCATTTATAATATCTTATCTATTTTATATTCCAGACAGATGTTGTATTAGTATTGTACTTCCTAGTAGATGCTCATGTACTTGTGACACCGGATTTTGGGGATTTATATTTTGCTATTGATTATATTCTGCTGTGATTTTTCATGGTTTATAGTTTGGCCTTATTCGAACACTTAAAATGATAACATCTATATTTTCAATAAAACTGAATGATTTCCACTCTTTGTCTCTTAAATTGTTTCGAAATACATTTTGGATTAATTATTGATGCGTTGATTTAATTGTTGGCTTGTCTAACGACGACGTTGGGCGCCATCACGGCCTAGCAGGATTTAGGTCGTGACAAAGGCTGATTTAATTGAAAGAAAAATGGAGATAATAGAGGAGAAGAAAAATAACAAAAATAAGAAGGTGACATGAGAGTATACCCAAAGGATGGTCGGAATAAGAAGAGGAAGATTGGAACTTTGACAAAGAAGAAGAAGAAGGAAAAATAAATAAATGAGGAGACTGAAGGAAGCAAATATATGCTTGTTCTACCTTTCCCTCAGAAGCAGAGAAGAGAGAAGTTGGACAGACAATTTGGGCATTTTCTAGAAGTGCTCAATCAGGTGCATGTTAATCTACCTTTCACAGAGATACTCTTGCAAATACCAGCATATGCCAAGTTCTTGAAGGAGATATTGTCCAATAAGCGAAAAGCGGAAGAGACATTGGTTGTCAAGCTCACAGAGCATTGTAGTGTTGTTCTACAAAATAAGCTCCCTCGAAAGTGTGGAGATACAGGGAGTTTTACTATACCTTGTTCTCCAGGATGTACTAATTTGAAAAATCTTTGTGTGATTCAGGTGCTTCTATTAATCTTATGTCCTTGTCTATTTTCAGGAAGCTAGAGAAAGAAATTGGGTCAATCAAATCTGTACATGTGTCTTTGCAGTTGGTGGATCATACCACAATAATACCTTAAGGAATAGTGGAAGACACACTAGTTCAGGTGGATAAATTTGCATTCCATATGGACTTCATTGTGATGAACATGGAAGAGAATAAGGAGGTCCCTCTGATTTTAGGGAGACCCTTCTTGGCTACTGGTAGAGCTATACTAGATATTCAGGAAAGGCAACTCATGCTAAGAGTAGGGGAAGAAAGAGTGGTGTTCAAGATGAAGGAAGCAATAGGGGCACCTAGAGAGGAGTCAGTTGTATACTCTGATTTTAAGGTGGATGTCCTAAAGGAGCTAGCTGAAGAGGACAAGCATGATAAGTGTGGGGTGTGCCTGAAGAAGTCAATGAAGAAAATCTCGGGATGGTTGTGTGTACTGGGTCGGGCACACAAAGTAGACCCCAGCATTACCCTGACTAGACAATTCAAGGGAGTATCCTTTACCTCTTGCTTTTTATTTGTGTGTCATGGGGACATGCCACAATTTAAAGTGTGGAGTAGGGAATGTAAATATGTAGATGTGTTTCATTTTCTTTTCTCATCTTTTTGTGTATTTTCGTTATTATTCTTAAAAAGTAATTTACTTTTCCCTACGATGGATTTCCTAGATAGTTTTCCCTACGATGGATTTCCTCGATAGTTTTCTTAGAGAGTGTAACAATTCTCCATTGATTTTTCTTTATGGAGTGTTTCATTTTCTAAGTATTTTTTCTTGAATCGGGTATAGTTAGTTTTTTCTTTTTGAAGGAATAAAGAGTCTTGTGTCATATTGCTAATTGGAGTAAATCTTTCTTGACTTTGTTGTACCTTGAGAGCAGTGAGTGACTTAGTTGTGACGCTTAGGATCATTTCTTGACTCATGTATAAGTGCCTTAACATGTTTGATTTTGATTATGTTTAACTACTTTGACTAGAATGTCGGGATACATCCGATCCTGAGTGAGTTATGTGCTAATGTGTGAGTGAGGTTGCTTGTTGATATTCTGTGCGCGTCATTTGATGTCTAGAACTTACCTCGCATGTTTGCAAAGTGAAATAGTAGACTTGTTTAGTCTAGGAAGTTATATAGGTAGTTCTTTTCTGAGCCAGATATATGCTTGATTTCCCACCAAATAATATAGATCCTATTTATCCCCTTTGAGCATGTAATCCTATTTTCTTTGGCAACCACATTACTAGTCTGACCCCTATTGGTTGAATTGACTATATGTTTGAACCTTTTACCTCCCTTGGGCACTTGAAATTGTTATGAGCTTGTTGAAAGCTAAGTGGAAATACAGTTGGGTTTTTGAGTGGAACTGAGCAAAATGGAGAAAGGTACACTATTTGAAAATAAGAGAGCCACTAGTAGGAAATTGAAAAAAGAAAGAGAATTGCTTGGAAAGAAAAAAAAAATCAGAACTCAGAAAGAAGAAGAAAGAAAAAAGAGCTTGTGTATGTATTAGAAAGAAAAAATAATTCCTTGCAAGTGGTAGTTCTCATCTTATTTGTGCATAAAGAATTGGGAGCTTGGTGCTAGTATTTATGAAGGTTGGATTTTGGTTCAACACAAGTGTGGGATTTAAAGTATGAAATTGTATGTGTTAAAGTGCTTAGGGAGGTGTAGTCACTATTACCCAAATTGTATCCTACCAGTCCATCAACCTATATTACAACCAAAATAAAGTCCTACTTGATCTTTGACTAGGTGAGCTCGAATATATTACTATTATACTACGGGTAAGCCTATGGTACTTCTTCTGTGGCACATGAATTTTATTCTGAAAGTGAGTGAATTCTTTCTATCTTGACTTCCTATTTGTTCTTGAAATTTATTATATGTGGAACTACTCTCTAGTTTGGTGTGAGGGCAGATGACTTGCGAAGGGAAAGGTAATGTGTTTGGCTTCGGTATTAGAGTAAGTGAGCGGTTTTTTTAAAATACTGATGCTTTTGAGTCGCGTCTTGAGACTAGAATGTTATGGCATGGTGCTTCATCTATTTTAAAATATTCTTGGCATGATGAGTTAGGAGAGTTGCTTGAAAATATCATCTCTATTTGATGTGTAGTTTGTATTGCTCGAGGACGAGCAATGGTCTAAGTGGGGGTCTTGATGGTAGGCTAGGAACTCACATTTTTAGTAATATTTCGCACTCGAATTGCTACACTTTAATCGCGTTTGAGCTTAATTGCTAGTATGTTGTACTTATTATGTGTATTATGCCTTGTAGTAGATGATTCCGTGTAAAGAAGTGATTTTATAGCTAAATTGGATGATTTGGAGTTTTGAAGTCTGAGTAAAAGCCCAAAATATTAAATCGGGATCGTGTTCGGGGCTCAAGGACCAAGTGTGGATGTCAAAAAGTGAGAAAAATCCCACTGGAAGAAATGCACTAGCGCGCCGCATAGGATGCGGCGAGGCAATGCGAGGTAGTGCAGTTGGAGGCCGGCTGATAAAAATTGCACTCTCTGTAAAGTTCCACTAGCCTCGCGCATAGCGCAGCGCGCCAGTGTATTTTCGCTGTTCAATTTTTCCACTTCGGCTTCAAAAGGGTAGTTCTGCCAGACGCACTTCTACATGGTATAAATATACCAAAAATACCATTTTTAGAGGGATTTTAGCCTGCGGAAGATTGGAAGAGCATTGGAGACTCTAAGGCACAAGGATTTATCAGTCTTTCTTCAACTCAACACCCAAGTGTCACGATCCAAATCTCACATGTCGTGATGGCGCCTATCACAATACTAGGCAAGCCGACAACTCCCAATAAACATGCATCTTTAATTTAAAGCATACAAAAATAAGCTTAAAATGTAAATCTCATAATTAACTAACTGATAAGAAAATATCGTGACTCAATACAAAATTCCAAAAATCCGGGTTCCACTGAGTACATGAGCATCTAAAAGACAACATAGTCTGATTGCTTAAACACTAGCTAGAAAGATAGAACGGTACAAATAACTGGAAAGAAGGAGAGTTAAGGTCTGCGGACGCCAAGGCAGCTACCTCGATAGTCTCCAACAGATAAAGCTCCGAAGCTAGCAGCCACCGTACCCGGAAGTACCTGGATCTACACAAGAAGTGCAGAGTGTAGTATGAGTACAACCGATCCAATGTACTCAATAAGTAACAGGAATAACCTTGGGCTAAAATTAGTGACGAGCTCAACAGGTACAGTCCAAATACAGATTTTTAACAGTACAAAAATGTAGACATGCTTTCAAGCTTAACAGTTTAAGTTCAATACGGAGAAAATATGCCAAGTGTGACTGATATGAGGAATGATACATCACTATATCTACATGTCAATTATGCATGCCAACTGTAATGTAACACAGTGATAAAGTAATATGCATACTCTCGGAGTATTAATTCACTCAGTCCTCCCACTCACTCAGTCCTTCCACTCACTTAGTCCTCACAGTCAATCAATCCTCACAATCACTCAGTCCTCCCAATCGCTCAGCACTCGTGCTCGGTACTCATACTCTGTAGGTACCTACACTCACTGCTGGTAAGTCAGACTCCGGAGGGGCGAATCCTGCCCAAGCGCTAAAATAAGCCAATCATGGAATGAATCAATAAAGCTTGTTGCGGTGTGCAAGTACACGAATAATACTCAGATTAGATGACTGCACAGTTCCACAAAATCTACTGAGTCACAATTTCTACGGTGCACGCCAACACGCCTGTCACCTAGCATGGTGTCACCTCAACGCCAATCACATAACATGTAATTCAGGGATTCATACCCTCGGAACCAAGTTTAGAAGTGCTACTTACCTCAAACAGTGCAAATCTCTACTCTAACAAGCCCTTGCCTTGTGAATCATCCTCCGAACGACTCAAATCTAGCCACAAACAACTCGATACAATCAACACAAGCTATATGAATCAATTCCATACGATAAAGCTAAGTTCTTAAACAAAAGTCAAAAAGTCAACTCAAAAATTCAGCCTCGGATCGCAGGTGCGCGAGGTCGGGTGTCTAGTGTTTGTCCACATAAGTGGAATTTGACCGCAGAAGAGGTATCACAGAAGCGAAGAGAGTGGCCGCAGGTGCGAGATGCCTGGCAGTGACTTAAATTCAAGGGGTTTCTGATTTATTCATTTTTGGACTTTGGGAGCTCGGACAAAGGCGATGTTTTAAGGGGTTTTCGCTAGATTTTGAGAGGTAAGCAAGTTTTGGTCGTTTTTATCTAATTATATTGATTACCCATAGATTTGGTATTTTTGAAGTGAAAATAGGGGATTTTTTACCCATGTATTGGAGAGTAATAATTGAGGGTTTGAGTGATGATTTGGTGTCGGAATTTGGTAATTTTGGTATGGTTGGACTCGTGGTTGAGTGGGTGTTCGGACTTTATTAATTTTATCGGATTTCGAGACATGAGCTCGAGGTTGAATTTTTGAGTTAACTTTTTGACTTTTGTTTAAGAACTTAGCTTTATTGTATGGAATTGATTCCTATAGCTTGTGTTGATTGTATCGAGTTGTTTGTGGCTAGATTCGAGTCGTTCGGAGGATGATTCACAAGGCAAGGGCTTGTTGGAGTAGAGATTTGCACTGTTTGAGGTATGTAACACTTCTAAACTTGGTTCTGAGGGTATGAATCCCTGAATTGTGTGTTATGTGATTGGTGTTGAGGTGACACACATGCTAGGTGACAGGCATGCACCGTAGAAATTGTGACTCAGTCGATTCCGTGGAACTGTGCAGTCATCTAATCTGAGTATTATTCGTGTACTATTCACGTATTAGAGGAATTGAGTTGTGATTCATGTTAGAAATCATGCTTAGGCTATATGCTAGTACTGTTGGAACCCACAAAGGTCGTGTTGCTGTTGAATTACTTGCCTAATTTGAAATTATATACTCAGTCACATCTATATTTTTGCATATCATATCTCAGTCTCTTTTGTCATTTATTGATATATCATATTATCATTGTTTGGGCTGATTGTCATGAGATTTGTGTGCCCGAGAGGCTGGAGAGATTGATGACTCAGTGGGGCCGAGGGTCTGATTATGAGTGATGTTTATGGGATTGGGATACACGCCGCAGCAAGATTTATTGATTCATGCCATGATTGGCTTATTTTAGCGCTTGGGCAGGATCCGCCCCTCCGGAGTCCGACTTACCAGCAGTGAGTGCAGGTTTGATTCTTAACTTAGAAGTCTAAATTTGAAAATGTTGACCAAACTTTGAATTTTGTGAAAACGACCCTGGAACTATATTTGTATTGAACTGATAGCTTTGTATGGTGATTTCGGACTTGGGCGTATGTCCGGAATTGATTTTGGGAGTTCTGTCACGCCCCAAAATCTGAGGAGCGCGACCGAC